CCCAGATCATCCAGCAGGCCGGCCAGGTGTGGTTCCCAGACTCTGCGTACAAGACTGCGCAGGCCATCAAGGACTTCAACCGCGAGAAGCTGCCCCTGATGATTTTTGCCAACTGGAGGGGCTTCTCTGGTGGCATGAAAGGTGAGGCCGCCCCCCACCCCGAGGTCACCCAAGGCCACAGGGTCCCACCCAGGGCAGCTGCCTTGGGAGCGGGCAGTCCACTTTTGTTAATGTCGGGGCTCAGCACAGCCCCCCAACAGCCCCGGGGCCCGGAGGCACACTGTCCTGCTGTGCGTGGCCTGTCCTACCCGGGCTCAGGCCTGCTGACTGACCGGGCCACTCGCGTCTGTATCGGTCAACGAGCAGACCTGCCTCGCTGCCTTTCTGCCCGAGTCTCAGAAGCGCTGCTTGTTGTTGGATGCCACACGGTCTGACCCTAGTGGCTCCGTGTGACAGTGGAGCTGCCCCGTGGGTGTTCTAGAGCACTGCAGGCACCGTGGTTCAGCACCGGGCTGAGAGCCGCAAGGGCAGCCGTTCGAAACTGCCAACCATTGTGCAAGAGAGACGAGGCTTTCTCCGCCCACGGGGAGTGACAGCCTGGGAAACCCACAGGGACAGTTCTGCCCCGTCCTGCAGGGTCAGGGTCGCTCCGAGCCAGTGCCTGGGTCGGGCAGCTTCTCTGTTTACCCCTTTTATGAAAGGGGCTGGTATCGGACCCGCGTGGAGGCCTGGAACTGGTTGTCACCGGTGTCTCTGGCCTGTGCCTCCCGCAAACTTGTTCCTCTTGGTGCTCACTGCAGGCTGGGGCTCAAACCCTCTCTCCAGGGCCATCTGCTGCCGGCAAGTTTGCCTGCAGTCCCGCTGTGTAACACACGGGGCCGCCCACGAGCTGGGAGCGCCGGCACAACCAGGGGTCTGACTTGTCTTTGGTGTGGCCACCCTGTCGGGTGCCCAGGTTCTTGGAGGCACACTTGCTGGCGGAAGGAAGGACTGTGTGATTGATGTGTGGGGTGGGGTGGGGTGGGGTGGAGGGGTGTTGGGGTTCTAGAAGTGGTCGGCCAGGGACCGGGGGACTGGCATGTTGAGGACGGCTGAGAGCCAGAGCCAACAGGAATCCCAGAGATTAGTTCCCCTGTCCTGCTACAGAGGAGGGCACTGACACCAGGCCTGGCCCATGAAGGGTCGTCTGGCCACGTCTGGAGCAGTCTGGCACCTCCTACCCCCACCCCACCGCCCCGGTCCGGTCCGAGGCCGCCTTGCTCTGTTTCAGACATGTATGACCAGGTGCTGAAGTTCGGCGCGTACATCGTGGATGGCCTGCGGCAGTACAAGCAGCCCATCCTCATCTACATCCCCCCGTTTGCGGAGCTACGCGGAGGCTCCTGGGTGGTCCTGGACTCCACCATCAACCCCCTGTGCATAGAGATGTATGCCGACAGAGAGAGCAGGTGGGTGCTGCCAGACCTGGGCACCCGGGCGTCAGCCTCACCCGGGGAGCGAGAGTTTTCCCCAGAGGGTGCGCACACTCGCCTGCCCCGCCAGGGAAGGTCAAGCACAAGGGAAGCCCCAACGCCTCTGAGCTTCCTGGCAGCGGAGGGGAAAGAGGCAACATGGGCAGTCGCCTAGCTCTCCCCAGACCCTGGGTTAGTCCAAAGCAGCGTGTTCCGGGAGCGCATGCTCTTGCTTCAATTTTATAACCCAGTGCGCCCCCGCGCGGTGTCTGACTCTTGGGAGACACAAGCCAGAAGAGTGCCCCCACTCCCCACCCTCAGGCACGGTTTTTAGGAGAGATGTCTCTGGTACAGAAAAGACAGTGGCAGGGGTGCTTATTACACAGTGGTGGCCAGGGGGCACCCTGTGTCAGGGCTCTGCAGGATCCAAAGGGTGTACAGTGGGTGATGCCCTAAGTGTGAGCACCAGGGACTAGCTGGTTCCGTGCCTGGTGGCGAGAACCCACCCGGAGGCGCCGCAGAAGAAAGGCCTGGCGATTTTGCTTCTGAAAGGTCATACCTTGGACACGATGGGGCGGGTACGGTTTTGCTCCGACCGTAGAACCGGGCTCCTACGGAGTCAGAACCTCTGGACGGCCCCTGGCTCTTTGTTCCTACGTCTCCTCCCGCATCGGTGCGTTCCCTCTAAGACCGTTGAGCACGTAACTGCTCACAAGGCACCCTGTCAGGCCCGGGTGTCGGCCAAGAACAGTCAGGAGGCCGCCAGATAATCAAACTGGAAGAAGGGCAGCCAGAGCTCCTTAGAAGGGAGGCTGGCAAGAGAGCCTTGGTCTCTGGTGTGTTGGACATGCTCCTTAGGGTGGGTCCAGTCTGTGGCGAAGGCCATTGTGCTGGGTAAAGCAGAGGGCCAGGAGGAAGAGGAAGACTGCCAGAGAGACAGGCCGTGGGCTCAGACAGAGCAACGAGGGTGAGGGTGCGCAGGACCGGTCATGTCTCGGTGTGTGGGTCCCAGGGTCACCGTGAGTTGGCACTGAGCCAGCGGCACCTAACGGCATGCCAGAGATGGTGCTGTGGTGACAAACGAGCCCAGCCTGTCCTACCGTCAGGGCACCTTGAATGGTGCCTCATCTACTTTTCACTCTGGCCACCAGGAAGCTCACAGGGCAACCTGTTCCTCCAGCTTCCAGGCATCCAAAGGCAAAACAAAGGGCTTGTACGGAGCCCCACAGGGAGTCAGAGGACGAGCCGGGAACTCCCGTTGGCGGTCCCTGGCACAGACCCCCACCCCCTCACCTCTGCCTCCTCTTCTTTCTCAGAGGGGGTGTCCTGGAGCCCGAGGGAACTGTGGAGATTAAGTTCCGAACAAAAGATCTGGTGAAGACCATTAGAAGGATCGACCCAACTTACCAGAAGCTCATGGAACAGCTAGGTGAGGCGTGCTGGAGCGGACCGGCGCCAAGGTCAAGTGCGTGTGTGGGTGATAGGAGCCCGTTGCAGGGTGGGCTGCTCAACACAAGGTCAGCAGTTTGAAACCACCCCCGGCTCTGAGGGAGCGAGACAGGATGTCCTAGTCCCATGAAGAGCCACTGTCTGGGAACCCAGAGGGGCAGTTCCACCCCTGTCCTGTGGGGCACTGTACGTCTGCAGTGAGGTTGGTGTGGGGGGTTATGTGTACACACACAAACACATATATAAACACACATACACGTATACGATGGTTCGTGGTAGATGGGTACCCTGGAGCTGCTGACCATATGGTCACCAGTTCAAACCCATCCACTGCCCCTCAGGAGGAGGACCAGGCCGCCTGCTCCCGGGAAGACTAACAGTCTTGGAAACCCACCCGGGTGGACCTATTCTGCCCTGGAGGAGAGCTAAGAGTGAGAATCCACTAGACGGCAGCAAGCGTTTATTTTTAAAGGAAAGTGTCCACGTATATATGCTCACATGGTGCCACTGTGAATTTATTTCTCTGCACACGGGAAATAAATGTTTTTGAGGCCAAGAAGTAACACGGAAGTTTTGGTAGCAAACTGTCTCTTTAGAATTCTGAACGAGATGTATTTTACGAGTTTGTTTTGAACGGACGGGTCTATTTCAGGCGCACTCTTGACATGCAGTTCTCCTTTTACACGTGTGTGTTGAGTGGCAACATAGATCATAAGATTGTGGGGGTGGGGTGGAGAGCAGTAGCTATCAGAGTGGTCAGCGACCTCGCAGAATGAGGTAGGACGTGTTTCCTCCATTCTCAGTCTGTGAAGATCCGATTCTCTGTCCTACAAGAATGTAGTAGGAGCTTTTTCACTACAAACGTGACTTTCTGATCAGTAAGCACAGGGCCATTAACCTCACGGTCGGCAGTTCAAATCCACCAACCGCTGCCCTGTGGGGAAAAAAGCGGAGGCTGTCTGTCCGCAGAAAGATTTACAGCCTCTGACTCCCTGATCTCTAGCCAGTTTGTTTCTTTATCTGTTTACAGAGCTGTGTGGGTTGTCGGTGTCTCCCTGGGCTTTCTTGGCTAAGGTTTGAATTTCAAAGGGCGCGTCCCTTCCTCTAACTGGCACTGCACCCGGTTGTTGGTGATGTCCCCTTACTCCACGGGACAGTACTCATCACGAACGACCACTGACACAGCGGGTCTCATGCCGGGCGCGTTCCAAGAGGGTGTTTCCGATACGGCGTGAGCCACTTTGGCAGGGGCACGTCCGGCTGCAGCTCCAGGGAAAAGGCCACCTTCCGTGGCTTCACGTGAAGCTCCCTCCTGACTGGCTTTCTCCACTCGTCCCCAGGGATGTCCGATCTCTCCGACAAAGCCCGCAAGGACCTGGAGAGCCAGATGAAGGCCCGGGAGGACCTGCTGCTCCCCATCTATCACCAGGTGGCGCTGCAGTTCGCCGACCTGCACGACACGCCGGGCCGCATGCTGGAGAAGGGGGTCATTTCGGTGAGTGCCTGAAAGCTGTGCGTGGCTGGGCGGAGGGGCTCACCCGGTGTCCAGCCCAGGGAGGGCCTGGGATGGGGTTGCCTCGGCCTTGCAATCATACCATAATCTCTGGGAGTGGGGAGCCTAGGTCTTAGCCTCACTTTAAAGAAACAACCCCCTCTCCCCCCACCCCCCCAAAAAAGATATTCCAATAGGAACCAAAGCGGGAGGCTGCCATTCTGACCTTTGGACTACTAACCACAAGGTGGGCGGTTCAAACCCACCCAGAGGCTCCTCGGAAGAGAGCCCTGGCGTTTAGCTTCACAGCTGTGGAACCCATGCAGGGAGCAGATTCTACTCTGCCCACACGCGCTGGGGTCGACTGTGCCCCTGGGTCAGCCCGTGGCCTGGCTCGCTGTGCCCTGGCTTGACCGGGGTAGAGGCCTGGCCGCTGTGTCTTTCAGACAAGGCTGGCGGGGAGTCGGGGTGGACACCCACCTGTAGGCAGCAGGACTTGGGGTTCAGACCCTGGGACTGGCCCTTCCTGGCCTATACCTCCACCCTTGCCACCCTGCCCAGTGGGACCCGTCCCAGGGCCCAGTGCACGCCTCGCCGTGCAGCGCTGTGCAGGCGCTCAGTCCCAGGCTTGTGCACAGGACATCCTGGACTGGAAGACGGCGCGCACCTTCCTGTACTGGCGCCTGCGCCGCCTGCTGCTGGAGGATCAGGTCCGGCAGGAGGTCCTGCGGGCCAGCGGGGAGCTGAGCCACGTGCACGTGCAGTCCATGCTGCGCCGCTGGTTCATGGAGACCGAAGGGGCTGTCAAGGTGGGCTGCCAGGGGCGCAGGCAGGTGGGGGCCTGGGGCGCTGGCCAGGAGGGCTCTGCTCTGAGGCTACCCCTGCCCACCCCCCAGGCCTACCTGTGGGACAACAACGAGGTGGTGGTGCGGTGGCTGGAGCAGCACTGGCAGGTGGAGGACGGGCAGCAGTCGACCATTCGAGAGAACATCAAGTACCTGAAGCGAGACTCTGCCCTCAAGAGCATCCGAAGGTGAGTGGTTTTCCTGCCTGCCGGCAGGCAGCACAAACAAACTTCAAATTCAGGTCAGGTCCCTGTAATCCCCACTGGTATGGTCCTGGGGACTCGGCGCCAGGCCTCCCAGCCACCTTAGCACCCCACAGCCTCCCCCACTCCCCTGAGAACACAGCAGGAAGGGGAAGGGGGCTTCAGGAGCTAGCCCCAACCCTGCCCCTCCAGGACCATGAGTGTGGCGCTGCCCCACGCTCAAGGCTCCGCTCCCCCAAGCACCCCTGAGCCAAGTGGCCGCCCCGCCGGCCCCCAGCATGTCCTTCTGCCCTGCAGCCTGGTCCAGGAGAACCCCGAGGTCGCCTTGGACTGCCTGATCCACCTGAGCCAGCAGGTCAGCCCGGCCGAGCGGGCCCAGGTCATTCATCTCCTGACCACCCTGGAGAGCCCCGCCTCCACCTCCTGACAGCCCCCCAACACCCAGGACGATGCCACCCCTCGCCAGGGACCGGAGCTGCCTGTCCCCCATCCCTGCGTTTGTGCAGGGCTGCTGCTCCCCTGGGCTCGCTAAAAGGCTGGTGCGCACGGTCCCGCCACCACCTCTGCCGTGAGGAGTCCGGCTCCAGTTGTCCCGTCTGCAAACCGTTTCACTGCACCGTGGAACTGACCTGCCACCCGCCCTTGCCCCTCTGCCTCCTGGTGCCTGGCAGGCGGGAACCACGTTGTGCTTTAGACCTGTGTCCCATCTGGTTGTGCGAGTTTTTTGTTTGTTTGTTTTTTTAAGTGCGACCAGCTCTCGAGTGCAGGATGAGAGCAGGCCCTGGGCAGAACCCGCAGGCAGAACACAGCCTCGCGGTGTCAGGACAATGTGGACTCAGCCACTGCTGGGCTGCCCAGGGAGGGGATGCGGGTGCCGGCCTGCTGGGTTAGGAGAGGATAGTGTACCTCCCCATGACCCTTGGTGACCACCAGCGTGCCTCTCAGTGCTCTGTCCTGAGAGGGGAAACCATCCAGCCCTGGCATCCACCCACCCCTTCTCCTGGTGCCCACAGGCCACCCTGATGGGTGTGCAAACTGCTGTCCAGAAACAGAGGGGGTCCCACCTGCGCCCCGCTGGAGTGCTCACTCTTCCCCTGCCCTCAGGAGGGCCACCGGCCTCCCTCACCCATTGCCTGGAGGTCCCTGGCTGGACCGGGCCCCAGGGGCCAAGCTGTGGCTGGCAGAGACCAGGCCATTCTCTCGGAGGAGGACTAGATGCCACCCCCAGCGCCTCGCCACCACGTGCCCCCCAAGGGGGGCAGCCAGTCCCAGGGTCACTGAACCACGTGCCACCCCGGAAGCCAGTGTGGTCACCCCAGGAAGAAGCCTCTGGGAGCCAGGATGCTGGAGGCTGTTGGAGCTTGACATGAGCAGTCCGACCTCAGCCAGTGACAGCCCTGGCGTGGGTGCGAGTGTGGGGACAATGAGGGGCTGAGCTCTGCCCCCCCCCACTCCCCCGAGGTCCTGTGTGAGGACAGTGGGTGGGGACGGCGTCCGGGGACAAGCGCTGTGGCCAGAGGCCCTCGTGTCCCGGGTCAGCGACGCTCACGACTCCAGCCACGCACAAGAAACGCCAGGGAAGGTGCCGAATAAACTATTTTTGGAAGGAAGCACGTGCTGTGGTTCACTGGGGGCCGGGAGGGGTGGTCCCCCTCCTGCACGCCTCTGCATTTGCTTGCTGAGCCCCGGAGTAAGCACCCACTCCGGGGAGGCATTCAGGCAGCAGCTGGGGTGCTGGGGCTAGACTGAGCTGTCGAAATACGAACGCACGAGAAGCCGGCTGTCGGTCACGAAGACAGGGGCGCTCTGCTCCCGTCTGTCTGCAGTCCCAGTCTCGGAAGCTGGGGGGGGGTGGTTCCGCCCTGTCTGAGAGGGGCGCCCTGAGTCACCAGGGACTGGACAGCAGTGAGGGTTTTGCTTGATTCTCAAGTCTGTGTCTGTGCGGCGTCCTGGTGGCGTTGTGGTTACACATGGGGCTGCTGATGGCACAGTCGTCGGTGCAAAACCACCAGCCGCTCACGGGAGAAAGATGAGGCTGGCTGCTTCCCCAAGCTCCTGTCTCAGAACCCGGAAGGGGGGGTGGGGGGGTGTCCTGCCCTGTCCCATGAGGTCACTGTTGGCAGCAAGTTTGTCTTTGAGGTTGGAGTCGGGGCGACAGGAACAGTTGCACTGGGGAGGTGAACCCCCAATCATCAGGGATCGAAGGGCAGCACCGACCCAGGGACGGACACTCCCAAAGGGTCAGGCGAGGAGGAGGAGGAGGAGGAGGAGGGTCTCCACACGGGACTGCAGTGAGTGAGATGCAAGGTGTGGACAGGTAGCTGGGGGAACACCGATCGGCCCTGCCAGCCTTCGCCCAGTTCCCTCCGACAGACAGGTTCAAAGAGCGCACCTTGTAAGACAAGCTGGGGACCCGGGGCTGGGGGCGGACGGGGGCTGGCAGTGCGTTAGTCGCTGGGGGAGGAGGTGGCAACAGTGACACGTGAAGAAGGCGAGTCCTTCGATGGTCAACATCAGAGTATCCCAGAGTCTCATCCGCAAAGAGGAGCCCCGGAGAGGTGCTATCAGGTAAGCGCTGGGGCGCCAACCACAGGGCCGGCGGTTCAAGCTCCACTATCTGTTCCGTGAGAGCCTGCAGCCCAGCCGGCCCCACACCAAGGTGGGGATTCCCTGGGAGTCGCCGTTGGGTGGCCCCACCCCCGACAGTGGGAGCCCCACGCTGCCCTCCCCATCATGGCCACAGGCCTCCCCACTGGGGTTTGCTCTCAGTGGTGGACCGCCAGGCCTTTCTTCCTAGCCTGTTCAGGACAAGGCCCGGATCCAGCCTGGGTCCCTGCTACTGCCCACCTGTGGACACCCCATGTGCCTCCCCCTTGCCAACTGCTGCTGCCCCACCTTCCCACCGCCTCGCAGCACTGCCAGCCTGCAACCTGCACGCCCAGACAGGATGGGGGCGGGGAGGGGGCAGCCAGGCCATCCAGCGAACCTTTCCTATTCCTGGGACCCTCTCCCGGCCCGCCCCTCACCCGTGCTTCCGCATCTTAGCCCTCCCACCTCAGCTGCGCAGGCCCGGGTCTTGACGACCTCATTTTCTACAAGTGCTTTTTACTGTGCGTTGGGCACCGCCCCCAGCCAGCCGTGCGCCACGTGCGAGGTTTGTTTCCACCGTGGACTACGGCCCTCTCTCCACACCACCGCCTACCCCACGGCCGGCCGGCCCCTCAGCAAACCCTCTGCCCCTTTGCTCCCAGATGCCCGGAGCGCTCTGGCGCCTGCTCCCCCTGCACACCTGTCGGCCTCTGACCAGTCCCAGCAGCAGTTTGTGTGAGGGGTCCAAGCACCGAGAGTCCAGAAGCCTCCGGCTAGGTGAGTGCGTCCCAGCGACTCTGGTGTGTGTGTGTGTGGGGAAGAAGCGCGGGCCGCATGTCCGAGTCCCCAGGTAAGCGGTGTGTCCCCCATCCCCTCTTGGGTGCTGTTCATGTATCTGTGGGGGTGCTGGGGCGCGGCAGCCCCTCCCTGCAGGTGGGTCTGAGGCCTGGCCTGCACGCTCTTGGTTGCAGATGAAGTGGCCCGTCTCAGGGGTGGATTTTGGGCTTTGTCTGAACACCCGTGGGCCCGAGGCCCTGCTCTGGGGACAGGAAGAGGAGGGCCAGCACAGGAGGAGTGCCAGACTCGGCATCATGCCTCCACAAGCCTGGTCTCCCACCCTTCTGACCCACACCTGGGCCTGGATGTGGGCAGGGTCAGGCTGTGGGCATCGACCCTCAGTGACCCAAGTGGCCGGTCACTGGGCCTTTCCTTCCCAGCGCCGCTGGCTGCATTTGAACCCCATCTGCAGGTTGACAGCCGGCCACAAGCTACTGTGGCCTCCCAGGGGCCTGCAGACCTGGGCACGAACCCCTGGAAAGTTAGTCACCTTGGGGGTCTTTGTTGTTCAGGGCAACAGGCAGGCAGGGCCCAAGGAGCCCTCTGAGACGGGGCCTGGTGGAGGTAGGGGTAGGGCAGGGTGCCGTCTGCATCCCATTGTGAACTCAGGCTATTTAGCCTCTCTAAGCCTGAGTTCCCCCTCTGAAATGGGTGGCTGCCTGCCTTCAGTGGCCAGCGGGGACATCAGGACAGAGGGAAGCCCATGGTCTGAGTGCTGGCCAGAAGAGCTGGATGTGGGCCTCCCTCGGGCTGAAACCAAGCTTTCCGGAGATTGGGGGGGGGGGGGGGACTAGCTTTGTTCACGACGACTGCAGCTTCCAGGTGGGGAGGTGGTGCCAGTGGCCAGACTGGCGTCAGAGCCCTCCTGAGTCAGAGAGGGGGTAGTGGGTGCTGGGCCAGGCAAGAGCCCAGGGTGGGCACAGCACCCAGCCCTGCCACCTCTGCTCCTCGGGACTTGCTCACCTGGATCGCCCCTGGGTGGTTACCGCTCCCCAGTGTGTCCAAGGCCATGGCCTCCATGAGCAAGCAGGCTGGCAGGGCCGCCCTCTGCGGTGGTGCTGGGCAGGTATGACCCTGGCCTTCCGGCCAGTTGTCCGTGTGACCTACTGATGCCCCCTGATTTCACAGGGTGCTGCTGGCCTCTGCTCAGTCCCCACTTCCCGCCCCACGAGGCCTGCCCAGCCTCGGCGTCCCAAGCTCCCCTCGAGGTACAAAACCGAGAATGGTGGCTGTTCTTGCTTTATCAGTCATGACATCCCCCCCACCAACACCCACCCGATGTGAGTGGGGCTCAGCGTGGCTGAGGTGGCATCCCGAGGGGCCTTAGTCTCCCCGCTTACGAGCGCCGAGGCACCCTCCTGCTCATGTCTGGTTCCCTGCCCCAGGCTGTCCCTCAGCCTTTGCCAGGGGGCACAGCCCCCACAGCCCCCGGCTGTCTCTGAGGATCCTGAAGTGTGGGTGTCCTGCTGTGCCACATGGAGCCTCCCCAGTAGTCATCCTCACAGGCCTGCTCGCCGGGCCTTTCTTCCACACTGCCTGCCGGGCGGGTTTGAACCACTGACCTGGGCCTTCATGACCGACGGCTCCCAGTGTGTGCCAACAGGGCTCCCCTGCCAGACCCGGAAGGGTGGAAGGGAGGTCCTTCGCAGTGGGGCTTCAGGCCCAACCTGCCAGGCAACCAGCCCAGCTGTGGCTCAGCCAGCAAGTTCTGGTCCCGGGCTCACACTGGGACACACAGCTGCAGAAGCCCAGGAGGGCACGGCGGTGGCATCTCAGGCCCCGCTTGGCCGGAAGGTCTTTTGTGAACCATCTCTCTTCTGTAGTTACCTCCCCCCGCCCTCCCCCACCCCCTTCCAGCCCAACCGTCTGTAGAATCGGCCCCTCGCATAGCTGGTAAGTGGCAACAGGCAACAAAATTGGAAAAACAAACAAGCACCATACATATCAAGGCGCCTGCCCGCTCCCCGAGACGTAGCCGGGTTTGACGGTTCACGCTGGCGTCCTTCTACGAGAGTCTTCAATTCCAGCACCAAAGTGACCATGGCCCTCAGGCCCATCCCGATGGGCCTGCAAGGGCCGAGCCCCGCAAACTCACGCCCTCCCCAGCGCCGGCCCCCAGAGGTGCACATGGGAGAGGTTTGAGTCCTGACTCTGAAGATAGAATAGAAAAGTCTCAGCCGGGGGTCCGTGTTGAAGGGCTGAATGCTTCCTGGTACCGATCGTGCACCGTCTGTCCTGCAGGGCAGCTCAGGGGCCAGTTGGAGACGGGGCTCACGGGTCAGTGAGGGGCTAGGGCTGCCGGGCTGCGGGGAGTCTCGCTCCAGGGCCCAGAGCAGGGCTTGTAGAGGTGGTGCGCACGGACCACAATAAATATAAATACGTGGACAGCGGCTCATGATGCCCGGCTGGCCTGGCCCTGCTGAATCGGAGTCGGGGGACAGCTGTGCTGCGGGTCTCCGGCAGGGGCCCTTTTGCAAGTAGCTTGCCAGTCCTCAGTCGTCACCACCCACCTTTTGGGGGTTAGCGGCCAACCTGGTTGCACCAGGGGCTGGGCTGGAGGCCTGCCGGGTCCAGGAGCCCCCAGGTCTTCTCCGAGGGGCTGGGCTGGAATCAGATGTTCCTTTGTCTCACCCTGTCTCGGAGGAGGGCAGGGTCTTCCCCGTGCCCCTCGGGCTCATGCTAGGGTGCTGCCGCTGCCACCACCTACAAGGGGCTGCAGATGGTGAGAACACAGCCCCCCTGACCCTGTCCAGGCCTGGAGCCTGGGGCTCAGAAGGGGGTGTGGGCAGCTTGTTCTCCCCGCTCCTCTCCTTCGACTTAGGGGCATGCTGTGGGGGTGGGGCCTGAGGATGGCAAGGGCTACTCAGAGGAACAGCTTCCTGGCCCAGCTAGGGGCGAGGCCAGGCTTGGGAGGGACCCTTTATCCAGGTCTGGCCAGTTATCGTCCAGGGGCTTGAGCCTCTTAGCTCACAGCAGGGCGATGGGCTTGTTCCCTGGGGTGCCCAGGTACTGGGAGGATGGGGTGGCCGCCGGCGCCGCCACTCTGTCCGGGCTGGAGTATGCTGTATAGAGGCCGGTCACCTGCACGTCTGAGAGGGACTGGTGACTGCTGCCGGAGATGGGAGTCAGGCCCGGGTCCCCCAGGTCACAGTCAAGTGGGGCATCTCCAAAGGCCCCCAGGGCATCCAGGCTGAAGCTCTCGTCCTTCACCTCCTCCCAGAGGTTCCCTTTCGAAGACAAGAGTGGCAGGTGAGCAGGCTGCATGCCAAACAGAGCCCCGTGTGAACCCTGGTCTAGGGGCCAGCCCAAGATCCCATGCAGGGCTCAAGGCCCAGCCCACCTCCCCCTCCCCCTCCTCCAGGGGGGCCTAGGGAACATCCGTCACTTCCTTGCTGAGCCTTGGTTTCTTGGACTAAAACAGGTGCCATCAGAGGGCCCGTCTCTTAGGACTGGCAAGGGTTAAATATAAATCAGATGCTGTGAGTGCCCAAGGCACTGGGCCTTTATTGTGGCTCCAGCTTGTGTGGCTCCAGCTTGTGAAGGGATTGTGTGTACTGTATGTAGTGTTTGTGGGGAGGAAAGTGCGGTGGTATGAGGGCGTGGGGCGCCCCCCTCCCCACCTCCTTTTCCATGCCATCACCTTGCAGAGCAAAGTCCATGATGCTGGGGTTCAGGGCGTCCACCTCAGGGTTCATGTCGGTGGAGATGTTGACGAAGTCCACAGCAGCCCGCCCCAGGGTGGGGTGCAGCAGGGGGCCAGGGCTCAGGTCCGGCAGGGTATGCAGGGGTGGGGTCTGAGCTGGGGCCGGTGAGCCCGGAGCCAGCTGTGCCTGGGGCTGTGCCTGGTGGTGCAGGGGGACAGACTGCAGGGACAGGGTCACCAGGGGCTGGGGCGGGAGCTGGGGGACAGCCAGGCAGCTGTGGGCCATGGCCACCGGGGTGGCATGGGTCAGCGGGGAGGTCTCTGGCTTCCCCAGCTTGCCAGGACACCTGCAGCTCTCCGGCCGGTCCGAAATCAGCTTGTCCAGCTCCTCTGCAGGCAGGCAGGCAGGCAGAGAGGCCGCTCAGACCCAACCCCACCTCCTCGGGCCCAGGTTCCAATGCTGGTGTGGTGTTGCCGCCTGCCTGCCTGAGCTCAGCCAGCATCCTGGGCCCTCTGATGCCCTGACAGCACCCACTGCAGGATGGGAGGTGGGGAGACTGTACAGAAACCACTGCTGGTGCAGGGGCTTCGAGGAGCGGGAGGAGCCAGCGGATAGGGTAGAACTGTCGCTGGGAGCTTCAGAGACTGTAACTTTACGAGAGCAGACAGCCTCGTCTTTCTCCGGAGGAGCGACTCGTGGGTTTGAACTGCCGACCTTGTGGTCTGCGGCTTAGGGTGTAGTCAGTCCAGTATGCCACCAGGGGCTTAACTCTCCAAGATTAAACTCACTGCCATTGGGCAATTCCTGACTCCTGGTGAGTGAGCTTACAGGACAGGGTGGAGCTGTCCCTGTGGATTTCCGAGACTGCCCTCCCCTCACCCCCTGACAGGAGCAGAATGCCTCATCTTTCTCATGAGGACCGGCTGGTGGTTTCAAACTGCTGGCCTAGTGATTAGCAGCCTATGAGTAACTGCTATGCCCTGCTGGGCTCCCTCCCGAGAGATCAGGACATAGTAAGGAAGGTGCAAGGGCTCCTAATGGCTCCCTGCTGCTGGAGCTGTTACGGACTGCTCCCGAGGGGCACAAACAGGACCCCTTCATGCTCTTGGATAGAAGCAAGGAAAGCCTTCGTCCCGCTTGGCAACTGAGAAACCTCAGACAGCCAGGCAGTACGACAGCGGAGATGTTCGATTCTCCATCTCTGAGAAACGGGCTTGCCGCTCAGGCCCAGCGGATGTTCACATGTCTGCCCTGGCCTCACAGTTTACCAGCCCCCAGGGGTCAGGCTGAGTAAGCAAGGAGGGGCTGGGGAGTGTCACTGGTGTATGTGGGGGCAGTGTGTAGGTGTGGGGCACAGGGCAGGGTAGGTGAAGTGGTGTGGTGTGTGGATGGTATTGTGCAGTCTGTAGAGTGTGTTGAGTAGGGGTGTTTGTGCAGTGTGTGTGGGAAATATGTATGTCTGCTGGTGGTATGTGGTGCAGGGTGTGTGTGTGTGTGTGGATGTGGCATATACGGCGTGTCTAATGTGTGGCCTGTACGTGCATACAGTGTGTATGGTGTGTGTGTGCGTGCAGTGTCTGGTGTGTGTAGTGTCAGTTACGTATGTGTATGTGTGCATGTCTGACTGCAATGGGTGAACTGCCTGGGGAGTGCGTGTGTTGGGTGGGTGCTGTGTGCGGGGTAACTGTGATACCTGGATGGTGTCTGCCGTGTGAAGGGATTGTGTGTACTGTATGTATGTGCACGTGGGTGTCTGATTGTGCAGTGTGTGTATCTGTAATGTGTCGTGTATACACGTGCATTGTCTGAGCGAGGGCGCGTGCCCGGGCCCCTGCGTGCGCATGCCCGAGCCCCCTGCGTGCGCGTGCCCGAGCCCCTGCGTGCGCGTGCCCGAGCCCCTGCGTGCGCGTGCCCGAGCCCCTGCGTGCGCGTGCCCGAGCCCCTGCGTGCGCGTGCCCGAGCCCCCCTGCGTGCGCGTGCGCGGACGGCTCACCCGGGTTGGCCATGCTGCGGTGGATGGCGGCGAGGTCCTTCCGCTTCCCCTTGTGCATCTCCTCCTCCATCTTCCCGATGCGCGCCGCGTTCAGCGCCCACAGGCAGCCCTTGCGCGAGGAGCCGCTCGTCTTGTTCTCCACCTTCTCGAAGCACTTGTTCAGGGACAGGTTGTGCCGCACGGAGTTCTTCCACCCATCGGGGGCCGTCTGCGGGGCGAAACGGGCACTCGGGGACCCCTTCACCAGTCCGCGTGGCCGCCGTCGGCTGGGCGCCGCTCACAGCCACCCTTTAGGGCAGGGCAGAACCGCCCTGTGCGTTTCTGAGACTCCTTACGGAGGAGAAAGCCCGTCTTGTCCCGGGGAGCAGCTGGTGGTTTTGAACCGCGGACCTTGCCGTTCTGGAAGCCCAGCATGTAACCCCTGCGCCACCAGGGGGCGCTGTAAACACACAGCCTCGAGGGGCGGGGCGGAAAGGGGGCGGGGCTACGCGCAGAGTCCCCTGCAGCTGGAGCTGGGCAGTCGGGAAGGAGGAGTGGGGCTTGTGGCCAAGGCGGAGGTGGACACCCTGGTCATTAGTCACCAAGGTGCCTGGCTGCCAGGTTGGCCTCGTTCTCCGTCCGTCTGGGAAGCGAGCGGGAACGATGCTCATACGCGGGAAACCCAGCTGGTGCATGAAAGGCAGCTGGTTTCGAACTCCTCATAGATTCGCTCCGATTAGCCAGCAGGTGTACCTCATGCCTTATACGTACGCACCCACCACAGGGCTGCCCTGTTTCTGCTGCAGACACTGCCTGGGCCGTGGGGAGGTGCCTAGACACCCTCACCCCCGGGCACACCCAGGCTCCCCTTTTGGCTTTGCTGCGAATGGCCAGCCCTAGGCTAGGAGTGTCCAGCCTCCTGACTGAGCTTCCTGGGGCCCAGTGGGGCCGGGTGGTAGGATTCTCCTATCTCCTGGATGAGGGCACTGGAGACTGCTGCCAGGTCGCTGTTTCACACTGCTGTGCTCTACTCAGCCTCTGTGGAACAAGCAGGTTGCCCCCTTCACCGTGGTGGCACTGCAGGCAAAGGGCTAGGCTACCCACTTCAAGGTCGGTGGTTTAAGCCCATCAGCCGGTCTCTCAGATGGCAGTCGGGGGTGGGGGACGGGGGCACTCTTTGCTTACTAGGGGGAGGGTGTGGTGTGCCTAGTGAACTCCTCTTCATCCGTAAGAGCCCAATCCAAATACCCCCTTCGCTTTCTAGAGGCCTCTGCCCTTGTCTGAGTGTGCGTGCCAGGTGCAGGGGTCCTTACCACCAGGCCTGTAGGTACTGCTGGGGCTCAGGCACACGTCTAGTGTGCCTCTCTCCCGAAGTCCAGCGGGCCCTCCCGCCCCGCACCAGGGCCCTCACCTTGAAGTAGGGAAAGTGCTCCTTCATGAAGCTGTAGATCTCACTCACGGGCAGGCTGCCCGTCTTGCTGTTCTTCAGAGCCATGGCGATAAGACAGCTGGGGCAAGAGGGGAGGCAGGTGAGCATGGAGGGTCTCCAGCTGACAGCCCAGGGGAGCCCTACCCACCCCCGCCCTATACACCAACACGGCATCAATGGTGGATACCTTTTCAGGCCCCAAGATCTTCCCCATCCCCTGGCCTGACCGTTGAGCACTGCGTTGAGTGATTCTATCTCGCCCACTCTTGTCTCTTTTCCCCCAAACGGATGTCTGTGGGGTTTTCTTCCTGTCCTCCAGGCAACGTCCGACTCCATGACAGGGTAGACCCGCCCCCGCCCCTGTGGATTTCTGAGACTGTGACTGTTTATGGGAGCGGAAAGTCCCCTCTTTCCCCTGCTCAGAGTTCACCTAAACCAATGGTTCACCACCTTCCTCAGGCCGCGACCCTTTCACACCGTTCCTCATGTGGTGACCACCCCCCAACCATAACATGATTTTTATTGCTACATCATCACTGTCGTTTTCCTACTGTGATGAATCGGGCGATCCCTTTGAAAGGGTTGTTCAACCCCCGAAGGGGTCGCCACCCACAGGTTGAGAATCGCTGACCTCAATACTTCCCTCCCACAAATGGTAGGGGTACCTTTGATAATGCTACAGAGGAGCCGCCCCACTGACGGCCGGAGACCGCCCAGCGTGTGAGCCATGCGAGGAGGTCACTGAATTCTCATCCCGGCGCGTCCCACCTGAGGGTCCCTGGTACCCCGATGCCTCCCCAGAGAAGTCTGGATGCCCCCCCAGCTCTCAGCCTCTGCTCCCCAGACCTCACCTGTAGGAGTAGATGGGCTTGGGGTAATGTTTGGGGTGCAGTTCCTGCGACGAGTGTCCAGCCATGCGGGGCTGGGGGTATGGAGGCCGTGCCCCAAATGGGGATCTGTACAGGCCCGTAGGGGGGCACTTCAGGTGAGCAGGGGCAGGGCAGTGGAAAGGAGATGAGAGAGACCAGAAGTCAGTCACTGGAATGCCCCCGCCCCCCCTGGCCCCCACCATCCCAGAAGACAAGTTGTCTCATCGTGGTAGGAGATGTGGGGAGGTGGGCGAGCGAGAGCGACTCCCCAGCCTTGGAGAGGTCCCTGGTCCCAAGCTCAGGAGGCCAGGGCTCCCCGAGTGCCCCACGGTACCTGCTGGCCCTGGGGGAACGGGAAGGGTGGTGGAGCAGCGGGGGGGTACAGCTGTGGCTCCTGCAGGCTGGCAGAGGGCGGGCCCCCCACTGGGAATGGGCTCATCTGCAGGCCCCAGGAGAAGAAGAGACAGAGGGTCAGGATGGAGACCGGTGCACCTCAGCCCGGTGGGGCAGCATCCTTCCTCCGGGACACATGCAGTGGCACTTACGTTGGTTCCGTGGTTGGCCAGGGGCCCCAGGCCCAGGATGCCTGTGGCAGCCATGGTGACTGGCCCGTGGAGCAGGGGGCCTGGGGCGGTGCCCACATGTAGGTCAGCTGCCCCTGCCAAGGCTCCTGCTGGAAGGAAGCACAGAGATGCCACCAGGTGGGAGAAATGGTGGCTTTGGTCAAGGACAGCCAAGTCCCTAGTTCCCCAGAGGGTAGGGCCACCCCAGAACCTCAGGACTAGATGCTTAGCAGGTACCTGCAAATCACTTCCTGGGGTACAGGGGCCAAGATGGAGGCACCTACTAGCTGGATAACCATGGGCCAGCCTCAGTGTTCCCATTTGTAGAACGAGGCTAATAATTTCACCAAACTTCTTGCTGCCAACGAGTGCGTTCTGACCCATCGTGACCTTATAGGACAGGGTAGAACTGCCCCCTCTGGGTTCTGAAGCTGTAAATCTTTACAGGAGCAGAAAGCCTCATCTCCCTTTTGAGGAGCCGCTGATGGTTTTGAACTGCAAACCTGTGGTTAGCAGCCCAACACATAGCCTACTATGCCACCAGGGTTACTACTTGCCTCCAAACCTGGGAGGGGAGAAAGGGAGGGCCTTACAGTTTCAGAAACCCACAGAGGGGCAGGTCTATGGAGTGCTGAGCACACTGCTGGACATGAGCTAGTATCTCAGTAGAATGAGTGTAATACCAATAAGAACGATGGTGACATCTTGCTTCCTGTCCTTCATGAAGCTCAGACACACGTTTAGTGTGCTTCTCTCTGTAACGTTTCATGACTCCCCAGTGCCTCCAGGTTTAGGTCCAAAACCTTTCTTAGAGATTTCCCCAACTCTCCCCTTGGTGAAGCCTTACTGTTGGGCCAAGGACTGGCAGATACACCCATGCCTCCCATACCTGGCCTGTGACAGACATTGCTAATCCACTGCAGAGTCTTCTATCTATAGTCAGGCAGGCATCTCTCATCAAACCAGCAAAGTGATCCGGCCACAGAGCCACCTCTTCCAGGATGCTTTCCAGAGTTCTGGCGGCCCCCTGAGTTTATCCTCCGTGCCCTGTCATGTCTGCCTTGCCCTCCTGCCCTCCCTGCCGCCAGTAGATCGTTTGGCTCTCTGGAAATCAGGAGCACATTGGGCGAGTCTCGGTGCCCCAAGCCCTGGCTGAGTGGCCCTGCCAGTGGAAGCAGTGGAGGGAGAGGGGGCTTCAGTATTTCACACTGACTGCTTTTATTGAGCACCAATTGCATGTAACGGGCTTTCCCAGTTGAATCCTTGACGCTTCCGGAAGGTCCCTTCTGTTTTACCCTTTTACTGAGGGTGGAGGGGACAGCGGTTTCCCAAGGTCACCGAGCTGTGCTCCAAAGCGCTAACCCGGGGGCCAAGCAGAGGATGGCCCACCGCTTGTTTTTGTTAATCAAGTTTGATTTGTTTTTGCACACGGCCCGCCCGTGTGACTGGCAAATCTCAAGTATGTATTACTCGGTCCCGGTGGTGGAGTGGTTACGTATTGAGCCACTACCTGCAAGGTCAGCAGTTCAAATCCCCCAGCTTCCCAGTGAGCAAAAGATGAGATTCTCTGGTCCCAGAAAGATGTGCAGCCACGGAAAGCCACAGGGGTAGTTCTCTGGCCTGCAGGGTCGCTCTGAGTCGGCACGGACTGGGAGGCAGTGGGTATGGGTTTGGGACGTGACTCTTTTCTGGTGAACATTTGCCAGTTCCTGCTTATAACGGCATTTGGTCCAGGCTCCAGAGTACTGTTGGGAGGGGCCATCGGGTCAGTTCTGACCCCTGGGGACGACCCTGTGTACACAGAAGGAAACACGGCCTGGTCCTGCACCAGCCTCACCATCGTTCCCATGCGTGGGCCCCTGTGACGGCCACTGTGTCCGTCCATCCCGTGGGCCCCCTGTGACGGCCACTGTGTCAGTCCATCCCGCGGAGGGTCTTCCTCTTCTTCACCATACATTTTCAGTGTGCCCTCTGACCTGCGGGGCCCAGCCTCCGGCACAATCCTGCTTCCGCACGTCCAGGTTCGGTCTCTGACAGTGTTCCCAAGCCACGCACAAGGTTCTCAGTGGCTGGGAGCTGCCCTTCTGCGTTGTTCGTCCTCCGTCTGGAAGCTCCCCTGAAACCTGTCCACTTTGGGGGACCCTGTTGGCATCTGAAAACACCCGCAGCACGGCTTCCGGCATCCCAGCCACACACAGGCTGCCACCGGACCACCAACCGACAGATCAGTGATGGTGGTACCTGGTAGCAATTGCTTTTAGGCCACTGCTGTGAGCGTCTGTGATACCTTCTGGGCCTGTAGGCAGCTAGTCCACTGGCGACGAGTCCAACGGTTGGGGTATTTTGCTAGGTCAGGGCAACCTTGCAGATAATTGAAGGAAATGCTGCCCGGCCCACAGGCTCTGTCCTTGGGGTGCTTAGCTGGTTTTGTGCTGTGGCATCCCCGTTATTTCTACCCCAGAGGCTCACCTTCCAGCAATATCCTAACGGTGCTTACTGTGGCCCTCGGGGTTTTTAATGGTCCCTTGTTGGGATTAGTGAGGGAGCTCTTCTGGAATCTGTCCACCGTGAGTGTCCATTCAAATGCCGTAGCCTACCTTTCGGCACCACAGCAACACGGGAGCCACCGCAGCCTGACAGACCCACTGGTGGACAAGGGACGGCTGCACCCGTGTTCACGGGGATTGTGTTTACCGAGCACCTGCTGGTGGCGTGGTGGTTATGCGTCGGGCTGCTAGCCGCAAGGTCAGCAGTTCGACCCCACCAGCCACTCCTCGAGAGAAAGGCAAGGCTTTCTCCTCCAGTCGGGAGTCAGGGTCACTGAATCGGCATCGACTGGGGGGCAGTGCGTTTGTTTTGGGTCTGTGGCACGTAGGGCACTTTCTGTCTGGACTCCGCGACCGTCCTTGCAGCCTCTTCCAGTGCTTTCACTGCAGACGAGGGACTGTGTATTGACGTCAACTAGCCACTCCTGGCTAGGGATGGAGTCAACCCTGTCCATCGTCGCAGCCTGAGGACTCCCCAGCGGTGTCACGGTGAGACACTGGGAACTGTGTGCTCTC